CCATCTTCCAGGAACCCAAGAGGCAAGAAAATTTTGGGAATGATGAGGGCAACAAATGTGTGGATGTGCTTTACACAATTGATCTATGTATTGTGACGAATTGTATGAGCCCCAATAAATTGATTAAAAAAAAAAATACGTGACAGCCATCATGTAACTTGCACATGTCACAGAGCTGTGTAAGACACCTGTGACCCTCGAGGTCAAGGGTGAGCACTCCACTCGGGGCAGGTTTAACTTCACTGGCTCATCCTGACACCGGGGTCAGCTCAAGGGATGGACCATGGAGTACCGGGGAAGATAGCATGAGTTCAGGGCAGGCCTCCTGGAGAAGGTGACGCTTAGGCCTAGAACAGCACTGGGCAGGAAGTTGAGAGACCTGAGTTCTTCTCTCTTAACAAGCCAGTCTGGAATCCCTGGATCCCCTTCTGTAGCAAAAGGACTTTGAGCCTCAGCTCTGAATCTCTTGAGCCCCAGCCTGCTTTAAGAATGTGCTGAGAAGCCAGAGCCCGTCTGCGCAAAATACAGGGACACCCTTGTTTGCTTTCAATGGGGTGATGGTGGTGGTGGTAGAGGGGAGTTCATGGACTTCTGAAAGCCATTGCTGGGCACTAGGCTACAATCTCAGAACTACAACCCCAGTGACTGTTATAACTGTCCGCCTGGCCCTGCACTGAGATAGATCCTCTCTCTGTGGTCTGTAGCAAGCCCTAGCAGGAAGCAGTATCGCCGGTCCTGGAAGTGGCCATCAGGCACCAGCACAGAGCAGGAGCCTGGGGAGGGAGGGGGCCGCTCCAGCTGGCCGAGGGACTTGGGTTCTGGGAAAGGGCCCCAGAGCAGCCTGCCCCTGACCTCGGTTAGTTTATCACAGGCTGCCCTGGGGAAAGCCGAGGAGGAGCGTGGGCCACTCTGGGCAGGCTCCCAACCAGGCCGCTGGTCCCTGTCTGCCGCCCAGGCGGAGTTCCCAAACGCAGGCATCCTTCATCCCCCCTAATCTCAACACCCACCAGCGCCGGGTGGTCCACTGGCTTAGGCCCATGCTTGTCCTCAGCTGCATCCAGCCCAGCTGCGGTGGGGGACACTGGGCAGCTGTCAACACTGCTCCCATATTCCGCCCTCGCTTACACCCAGCCGGTGCACACCCATCATTTATTGAACACCATCGGTTTGCAGGCACAGAGGGGTGTGTG